CATTTTTAAAAGGGTCGGATTGACACTATGCAATCCTTAGGGCCACATTAGCACCTTTCTACCATGGGTGAAGTCTTGATTTAGATACTGAACCCACATGAAGCTTTCTTCGTACCGATCTCATCACCGATGGAGCTTTCTTGCTATCGATATCACCATCTATCATGAACGCGGTTTCCGCCCACGGACTGGATATATGTCTCATATAAAAAAGACACGTCGCCACTAGTCACTCTTCATGTAGCTGACCCTTCCAACATGCGCCACATGTCCAGAGACTCATCAAGAAGTGATGATGATTTTTATCTTTTTCATCTAGTACAAATTGTAATAACCTGCTTAAGGTTAAGATACGAAAAATACAGGAAAATATACACACGTAAAACACGAGAATAATGTTCAAGCTTAACAAAATCAAGCAAAAATTTTTTTCTTTTCTTGTCTTGTTCGGCTTAATTATATTTTGTGTTTATCGTAATCTTATGTTGTTGATTCGGAACATCAACAAGTTGGCGCTAGAAGAATGATCTGTACTGTTTTTGGTGAATTTTTACTCAATTTCACTAATTTGTTTATATTAGTATCTTTGCACCCATCACCATGTCGTCATCCCACAATTCCAACTGTAATAACAACACCAATATCAATACAATCATATATGCTCCCCGACAAATATAATTCGTATTGTTACCAACACTATTCTCATCAAAGGGCTTACCAACCTCTTTTTCCAAATTCTCTATCACACTTTCCCTAACAAATTCGCTCACCTTAAATTAACTCGCCACAAACTCAGGCCTAAAGTCGCTACTCCTCAACCTCTCATGAGGTGGACTCACATACCCGACGTGTGATTTCAAAAGGGAAGGCAAAACCATCGCCTATCATTCCAAGGAGGGCACGAGTGAAAGCTAGGTCGATCTGACACTGGGTTCAGTACAACCAACCCCTTAGTGCTCGACTGCCTCGAAAACAACCTAAAACGTGTCGATATCTGACGTCGCCTCAATAAATCCAAGCCTTCTCCCAAAAAAGAGGCTGCGGAGATCATCGTCTTGAGGAAATGAATTGTCGATCTAGACGCCAGGAAGAATTTGGGCCTCACCAGCTATATACCCTTTAATTTTTCTTCCCACTTTCCTTCCTTTAGTCCTCTCATATCGATCAATAAGACTTCCCCGCTCCCCGCTATCTCCACATTTCCTTATCGAGGTGCTACTCGCCAAACTAAAAGTACCACAGATCAACCTCTATAATGAGGATACCAATATTGACGCACATGTAGAACATTACACATTATAGATGGATTTTCACGACGCCAACAATTGTCTTCTTAGTCTGCATCATCTTCTACGTTCTCCACATTGCTTTATACTCAGCAGATGAAGAAGCATCTAAAGAATTTGTCAAGGATAGATATTGCACATTAACGAAACCAATCATACGGCAACACAAGACAAAACAACACATACAAAAGAGGATACTGAAGAAAAGACCGACTTGGTGAGATAGATTTATCCACCGACAACGATCGCAAACTAGAGTAGCTGAGCAGAAATTGCCTTTCAAGCCACCTACAATCCCCGATCTTCATCCTTAAGCTCCAACACATGTTGAATCTTATCACGAAACTTGTCAGTCACAAGTGGTGCCAATTTGGACTCCGCTACAAAAAAACACAGGACAACGTTGGATAAAAAATAGGTAAGATATCTATGCCACTTTTTGTGGAGACTTACGGGAATCCACCTCCAATCGCATGGGAATGAACATGAAATCGTCAATTACAGCATTTGTGGCTGATTTCTTCGTCTTTAAGCTTTCATTGACCCACAACCATTTACTCCGCCATGCATGGCGCGACTCAGACATATGGGTCACCAATGCGTGCAAATTGTCTCACGCAGCGACAAAAGATGGACTCTGGAGCCCGTTTTTAGGGTTTTCTAGAGAAAAATTGACTCAAGTTCTTATGAAGTTGGTCGTGTTTAACCTTTGTTGCACAACATCACAATCAATGAGCAAACATTCATCAACGTGTTAGGATGCATTTGTGTCACATCCAAGCTCCATGCCCGCATATACATCGTCAACGTGCGACGAAGGGGGAATCGCCAGTTGGGGACCATAGAGACCTTGAATGTCGCCACACAACCCAATGGTGGGTAGTTCGATTTATCTTGAACGTACGGCGCAGTCAACTGTATCGATGATGGGACCTCGACGTCTCCTCTAGCTTCACGATGTCACTATCCGACAAGGCGCTTGCGGTCACACTCAAATCCAGCTCCCTTAATACAACCACATTCTCCATTGGTGGCCTAAAAGAATACCCTTCTAGCGAAGGTTCTAAACAATCAACGTTGAACGTCTCCCCTATCATTCACCTTGTCAATTTTCTCCAGAGACAACAACATAAGTGAAATATTGTAAAAGGCAAGAAGAATATGGAAACACCGAAAATATGTGCTGAAATAAATTATTCTTGTTTGTAGTTCGTCTAAACACAGTGTCGATCTGAAACAGAAGGCGGTAAAGAATCTACTTTTTTCTCTCGCTCAAAGGGAGATGGGATTTTTGCAAAAGTGAAATAGGAAAAAAGGATTTTTCCCTGCATATTTATAGAATTTTTGGGATCCAAACATAAAGACACTACATTTTATGTTGCAACCTTGATCGATGCATCTCAATGATAATTGACACATCGCAACACGACGTTTTGTAAAGGTACACCGTTTCACATGCCAACGGCTCTACTAGGGACACGAGTTAAGCATGCAGATACTGGATGCACCTTTTCACAAGTTTTCTCTCCCCACTCAAGTAACGTCACATCTGCAATTAATGCGCCGAAAGAACGCGACCTTTATTCCCCTAATAAATGGCCTTTACACATACAATAACAGGTTGACAATTCAAGATGTATGTTTCTTCATTTAATGGTTGTCAAACATCAGCCATAGTTGCAAACCTCATAAGAGGCACGTCGAAAAATCGACATCTCTAGATGTACAACTTTCTGCACCCAATAGCTATTTACCATTGCTCCCAGCAATCTGGGGGACCCATGTTATGCATATTATTGGTCGATCTGAATTAATAATTAAACGATTCATAATAGTGTTAACATGGACTACCTCTAACACATACACCAATTTTCAAAGGACCCGATCTTGCATTCCTTGAAGCCACATTGACACCTACCTTCTGTGGCTAAATTCCTGATTTCGCACCGACCACATGAAGCTTCTTTTGTACCGATCCCATCATCTTCAGAGCTTCTGTCGTGCCAATATCACCATCCAATGTAAACAGAGTTGTTGTCCACGAACCGACTATATATCTTAAAAAAAAAAAAAGCGCAGCCACTAGTCACTCTGTATATAGCTGACCTCCCCAATACGCGCCACGTCTCTAGTGACTATCAAGAAATCATGATGATTTCTACTTTTTTAAGTAGTGTAAATAAATTGCAATTAACCTGCATAAGATTAATACACGAAAAAAAAAAAAAATACACAAAAAATATATACATACGAAAAATACGAGAAAAATGTGCAGGCTTAATAAAAGCAAACATTAATTTCGTTTTATTTTTGTCTTGTTCCCCTTTTATAAATATTTCAACTTATAGTAATTTGTATGGTGGATTCTCGATTCATTAGATGTCACCCGGTGACAACACTGTCTATCCCTTGGATGAGGGATACCTACCTTCATACTTATAAAAAGAAAAGTATAATAATATTTTGACATCTTTTGAGGGTATGTATAAATTTTCACGGTAGCATTTTGCATTTTTTCTTGAAAGTATTGAAATTTGTATAATCAAATTGAGTGGGTTCCATGTTTCATTAATCAGAGCATCTACAATGCATTGAGTCTAGTCTTGTCTATGTGGCATGTAAATAAACCAAAATCTTGGATGACATGGATAAAAATATGTAAAATTAATAAAACTTACTCCAATGCAAAGAGACTAGGTCTCTACTTGGGTCTAAAATAGACTTAAGGGTAGACCGAGTCTCTTTTTCTGGCTGCCACATCAGCAGACCCAGTTTACTTTTGTTTGCATTGGAGAATACATTTTTGTAGACTAAGTCTATTTCTTATGTATCATACAATTTTTTGTGATTGAACCTAAAACATTGTGATGCTCTCATCACAGTAGTAGTAGTCAAGGAAAAAAGGATGCGTAAAAGTTAGAATTGTTGACATTAAAACCTTCTTAAAAAATACGTGTGCAGTGAATCTCAAAGAATAACAAAATTTTTTTTTGGTACAAAAAGAATAACAAAATTAATTGAAAACAAAACGTGTGTACCTTCTCTGTATTTGATTCTGTATTCTGTAACTTTCGACGTTTCGTCTCCTCTGTTTCGGGCAGTCTCTTCTCTTCTCCGCCAGGTACATTCTTTTAGATCTGTTTTATTTTTTTACTCAATTAAACTCTTTTTTCTTAGGATGTAACAATAATTTGTTCAAGAACATTCTTTACTTGTTGAGGGTTTAAGCAATCTTCTTGTTTTTTTTACTGAACGACCCACATCTGTTACCTGCGACAACGTTTGTTTGTTTGTTTGTTCGTTTGTTTTATTCTATTTTTTGACACCATTTTTTTCTGTTCTTCCTGGTGGGTTTGCTTGATCAGGTTTATTACATTCTAGAATCATTATTATTATTATTTTTTGTTCATTTCCAAGAATTACGCGGCCTGCTTTTTATGATATTATTTCGACAAAATTTGGAAGTTGAAAAATATTTTATTTTCTTGCAACCTTTTTTTATGTTCAGGAGAATCATTCACTTCGGATATATCTGCTAAAGTTGCAATCTTTTTGCTGCTAATTGGATCTGTGGACTGGTTGATTCCAGTAGGGGTTTGGAATCACGTTGAGGAAAAACCCCTGTTGAGCATTTGGGTTGTGGTTTGACTTCGACCACAAGCAGTGATTTGATTGAATTTCGGTTCCAAGGTGAAAATGATTGCGAGAAAAAGCATGGGGCGAGCTTCGTCCTTTCTGTTGGTGTTACTGGCTTTCGGCTTCTTCATTGCAACTTATAATTTGTTAACTTTGGTGATGCACAAGACCGGTAGAAATGTGACTGGGGGGTTAGATGATCCGGTTATTAGGAGGCCCAGCGTGTCGGGTGAGAGAAGTGGACCGAAGTTCCATGTGGCGTTAACGGCCACTGATGCACCTTACAGCAGATGGCAATGCCGGATCATGTATTATTGGTACAGGAAAATGCGGGATGCGCCCGGTTCGGATATGGGAGGTTTTACTCGGATTTTGCATTCGGGAAATCCTGATAATTGGATGGACGAGATTCCAACTGTCATTGTGGATCCTCTTCCAGACGGTCTTGATCGGGTGAGCCGTGACTGACCACCTTTTAGTTTTTTCAGTACTTTCAGTTTTGAATATGGAGGATTTAAAACTTGGACTGAAATAAATGTGCCTTCACTTTGGTGAAAGTGGATTTTTGTTTTAATAATGTCTTGAAAATCCTAAAAATTAGGCTCGTAAAATAGGTTGGGCATTAGACTTAGCTCTGTTGATGCCTTCTTTTATGCTAAACACCTCGTGATGGAAATTATGGATTACAAGATTTTTATCTGACATACAAAAGTTTAATCTTTCTGTTTGAGATGCTGATTGAACAAAAACTAAAGTAGAGTTTTTTATCCTATATTCCAAAAATGTAGGTTTATCTTGCCTGAGACTTATCTCAGAAAGCTTTAGGAAGTTAATAATGATGTTGATCGAACATCTATGACATAGTGGTGTTAAGTTCTATGTTAATTTGACTGACTATGTTTTGTTCGTCGGACAGCACTCAAGTGCTTGTCCAGTTGATGTGAACTCCGTGTAAGTCATATTGAACTTGTGGCTCTCACTACAGCATTAAGTGTATGATTGTGTATCCTAATACTGTCCTTGGTTTCAAATGAATGAATTAATGGGTTCAACATTCTGAAACTTAAATAGAACGACATTCTTACTTCTTGTAGAACGACGTTCTTACTTCTTGTAGTAAATGATGAATTAGCCAGACAAAGAAACAAACTTAAATAGATGAGCTTGTCCTATCACGCGACCCTGTTTACCGGTTTTATGCATTTATATTTTCATGTTTCTTTTGCTATGAGTGTTTTTATGCTTTCTACAATATTATTGTTTGCCCACTGCTTCTTATGTTCCATTTTAGTTTAACTTATTTACTTGTTGTTCTGTGTTTTCTAATATTTCTGCAGGGTTACATTGTTTTAAACAGGCCTTGGGCTTTCGTGCAGTGGCTGGAGAAAGCCACCATCGAGGAAGAGTGTGTTCTCCTTCTCGGAACTCAAAACAACCTTTCTCTCTTTATTGTATGATCTAAACTAATCTTTTTTTGGACTCACTATTTTTCTGATGCAGATACATTCTAATGGCGGAACCTGATCATATATTCGTTAACCCGTTGCCAAATTTGGCTCATGGAGATCAACCGGCCGCATACCCCTTTTTCTATATAAAACCGGATGAGCATGAGAAAATTGTGAGAAAATATTATCCTGAAGAAAAAGGCCCAGTGACAAATGTCGATCCAATTGGCAATTCTCCAGTAATTATCAAGAAGGTACATGTTTTCGTTTCCGATGATTTTCTTGATGCTTCAAGAATGTTGGTGGCCCAATCTAATTAGTTACTTGATTTGCCAAGCTGTGAAACCAAATTGTATGAACATCCATGAATTATGACGCGTTTCTTTGGGCAAAGTTTGCTCATAGTCGACCATATAAAATAAGGGCATTGATTTCTTTGCCAATTACTGGAAATTACAAGAGAATATGGCTTTAGATAACAGTCTTCTGTTCATATCATATATCAGTATTGCAACAAGTTGTTTTAGACCTTCACAAATTCGGATTTGCTTTAGTGAAGCCTATGATTGAGAAAGAGAAAAATTGCTATCAAACTAAATTTTCCAAAATAACGGAACTTTGAAAGTTATGCATCAACCCCCTTATATTTTCTGCAAAATCTATTAAAAACTTGGTAATTTTTCAGCAGAGTACTTACTGCAGTTTCATTACGCCTCGTTCCTTTGTTTCCTCATTTTTGTTCACATTTTCACTGTGGTATAATTCTCAATGGTGCAGTCGATGTTGGAGAAAATTGCACCCACATGGATGAACGTCTCCTTGCAGATGAAGGATGATCCCGAGACTGATAAGGCTTTTGGTTGGGTCCTAGAAATGTATGTGGGTTTCTAAACAATGTACACAGATTATTTTTAAAAACCGGGTCTGTCGAATATATTTTATAATTGTCTAAATAACTTTCTGTGCATGATAGGTATGGTTACGCAGTTGCATCTGCTTTGCATGGAGTGCGACATATTCTTCGTGCGGACTTCATGCTACAGGTCCGTTTGGTTTTTATTTAAGATAACTTTTTTTTTTTTACTTACTAAGTCATCTTATCACCAATTTGAGAGTTATTAATCTTTTGTTCTTTCAGCCACCATGGGATTTGGAAGTTGGCAAGAATTTCATCATCCATTTTACATATGGTTGTGACTACAACATGAAGGTAATTTGACTTTCCACTGATTCTAACAACTGATGTGAATCAGAAATTCGAGCTAACCTCTTTCGTTTATCCTAAATGACTTCGATTTGGTGCAGTTTTTCACGATACTGAATAATTTGTAATCTTTTGATTTTCCTTCTCATTCTCATTTTTCGTCATTAAAATTGCTGGCTGGTAATTAAACAGGGAGAATTAACCTACGGTAAAATTGGAGAATGGAGATTTGACAAGAGATCGCACCTTAGTGGTCCGCCTCCTAAAAATATCTCACTGCCTCCTCCAGGTGTCCCTGAAAGCGTGGTATGTCTTCTCTTTTCTTTCTTTCTTTCTTTCTTTCAGTATTGTGTCGAGCCATGATACAAGGAATAATTAGTCATTTGTACCACTCTACTCATTTCATCAACGTTTACCAATATTTTGATGTCTATAGATGTGGAAGTTGTTAAATTTCTCATATGCAAATTAAATGAAGATTTTACAATTGAGAGTTTTGTTCAGCTTATTGTTTAACAATGTTGCGATATTATCGTTGTTTGGTTATGGTCTGCCAGCAGAAATTCTCCGGTCAGACACACTCAAAATTTGTGATAAATCATAAGCACTACCCTTGAGGTCTGGAGTAATTACAAAACCCAGAGAAATTTCAATTTATAAAAACCCCTCGAGCCTGACCGACATTTTTCTACATTTTTTAAAAGAATTCAGAATCTCCTCGTACATTCATAGAAATATTATAGGTCCTTTAACTTAAGTGCCTCTTTTATAATTTCGAAACTCGCCTGCGCTTTTATCTGTTTATTTATTTTTTAGTAAAAATAAGAATCAAGAAGAAACAGAATTAGCTACAGTTTTTTTAATGAGTTTGTTGCTGCATTCTTCTGCAGGTAAGGCTTGTGAAAGCTGTGAACGAGGCAACTGCACATCTTCCAGACTGGGAGACAACATAGGTGATATTGGCTCTCTGAGTTTATTATGATCCCCTTTTGATCGTTTCTGCGAATTTGAGGATCTATTTTAGAACAAATTACTTGTGCGACCTTCGTAAATGGTAAAAATATACGACAATGTGAAGTACAAGAGAAAAAAGTTACACAATAGAAAAAGATATGGGTTTTTCTTTCTGTCATAGGTCGATCCTTTTTCTTGGCCCCTCTAACATCATGTCGTGCTGATATGTTTCTGTATCCATACGTTTTTATACTCACTCGCTTCGAAAACTTGAAAACTCAACTCATGCACAACTAATGTAACATTACGCAGCCGATTTCCATATTTGAGGTGTTGCTTTTAGCTATTGTAATCCTTTGCATGGTTTGAAATAAAAATTATGTGGATTCAGATAATTCTGCTGCTATTTTTGTTTTTGTATTTCCTAGTTTTTATGAGCTTCAAAATATTTAGAAGTTTTGAAAGGTATAGGATTCTAATTCCGGCCAGCCTATATAATCAAGACCCTTATAAACATGAGAATATTACGTATGCAAACCCTGTGGTTGACTTAGGCTGCATATTGTACTAAATATTTAGGATGTGCTTGGATATATAGGTTGGGTTGAGTTTTAATTGGCAGTTTTGGTTAACCAGAGTTAATTTTGAAAAAGTTAATTGAGTCAGGTTTGAGTGGTTTGAGTGAGATTTTGAGTTTGTATTAAAATAACATATAAAATAAAATAGTTAAAGTTATTAATTTTGAAAGAGTTAATTGAGTTTGGTTTGAGTGAGATTTTGAGTTTGTATTAAAATAACATGTAAAATAAAATAGTTAAAGTTGATTTGATGTAAAAGTAAGAGAAAAGTGATTAGATGTGACGAGTAGTTAAAAAATTATGTGAGTTGATGAATAGTGAATTAAAATTGATGTGATATGTTTGGATGATTGGTTAATATTATTTAATTATATTTAATTAAAATTGATGTGATATTATTTTTCTCATTCTCCTCTAGGGAGCTTTTCGTATTCTTGTGGTTTTTGTGTTCCCGACTATTACCTTGTTGGGGTCAGTTCTAGGCGGTCTTTTGACATGTCCTCTCATTTTTATTTTTATTCAGCTGTTGGTTGTTTGTATTCAGCTTGTGGTTGATCTTTTGCACTTTTTGTGCGATTTCATATAATATCTCTATCGTTTTGGAAAAAAAAAAAAAAAAAAGATAATAATGAAGAAGATTGGGGTTAACTGTTAAGTTAAATTTGAGTTGTGATTCGAAAATTCAATCTCAATTTATATACAAACACTACCTTAATGGACTTACGTTATTAAGGATAAGTCCGTCAACTAGTTTATGTGGGGGAGATAGAAAGAGAAAATGCAGTTGAGGGACTTGTATCTTATTAAAGAGAACTTGATTTGTAGATTACACCAAACACATCACTTTCCATAACTTATTCGAGGGTCTTTATAGAGGGACAGAAGTTTATCACATCAACTCATTTTTAGCTGCTGTAGAGAGGTCTAAATTTTCATGATTTGTTCTTCATCCACTCCTCTTTTAGCCGCCAAGCCCATTTCGAAAAAGGTTGTGATAGCACTCCCCATGTAGGGCCTTCCCGAGCCTCACGGTCGTTTTCTAGCCGATCTGTGCAGAGTAGCTCCTTAGTATATCTTGTCCTTTGAGAACAGCAACAAGCTGAAAGGTACTCACTGGGACATCCTCATTTGCTTCTCCCTGCTTTATTTGGACTGGTGTTAGGGGTTGCTATACATGGCCACCAAAGATTACATCACAAAATGAAATTTAAGAATCGAGCATGAAAAAAAAAAAAAAAAAAAACGAAGACCAAAAGTAGAAAAAGGAAAAATATGTGGTTGATATTATGGTACATTTCAGCAAGCTGAGAACTAATACTGTTATTTTTCGAATTTTTCATATGTTCCATAAATGCTTCTTTTTACAAGTTTTTATATGTATGTCTAATCAGGGCCATCAGTTCTGGGCTCACTATGATATCAAGGGTATATTGATTTAAATGTCAGACAATTTTAAATGGTGTGTGTACCATTGAAGCCAATGTGGCCTCGTTATTTGAAAAAAAACGGTGGGTGATTGGAATCTATCAAATAATCTCGGTTGGATGGCTTGTTCTTATTAGATTTCTGATTCGTGTTTGACCTCTTCGTTCGAGTACTTAAAAAAGCATCGGGTGGGTTCCCGATGTAAAGCCTTCCACGATGAACTCAGTCTCTCTTTTGTATGTAATGTGTATATGATAAAGACACGAGATGTAATGCTACAATAATCACACATCTAACCTTTATAGGAGTAGTTACTTAGTTCCCCAAGAGCTCTTCTCCCTTAAGGAAACCTAATCTTTCAATAGTCCTTCCATATCTCCCAAATCTTTAGGACTCTCACAATCACATTTCTTAGATGTCATGTGGCTAACGTCTATCAGCCCACTAAGTTGTCCCGAATGCACCTTTTGTAGCTAGATGTGTTGTTTCGTCGTATAAGTCCAGTACCCGAGGTCTTTGGTCACCCTACCGCACTCAGGGACCTACGTCGACGTACCCGAGCTATCGCCTATAAGTCGATCTAAGGGAGCTCCGCAGGTACTTGAATTTGTGGCATGAAAAGAAATGATAGGGCCCAAAACTTAACCAATTTGTTGGAAATAAATCATGTACAAGCAATTTAACTTGCTAAATATGTTGATACACGTGGGCAACAAATTAATTCACGAAGGAGCTGGTTTGACGGAAATAAGACTTTTGATGTGAGTGGGCTTTATTTTCATTGGACAATACATAAAGGATTGAAGGGAGGAGGACATTCATTTCAAAATTTCACCGCACATCGCGACACGGCAAATTTAAATTTATATTGTTTTACTAGATTGATCTCCACTAATTAGTAGTAGCGGCAAGTAAGGGTCCCACGATGAGCAGGAATTGAATTGTGACTATTCCCATATTGATCGAATTAAAACGAAGAAAGCAATAGGGGGGATTGGTTTTAATAAAAATAAAAATCAAATAAAATGAAGATAAATCTAGTTTTCAGTTTAGTTATCACCCAGTCTAAATCTACAGTTAACAAATTTCAGCGATTTCTTAAATCGCTAATGAATTATCAACCCTAGCTAAAACAAGCTCTGTTAATTGAATTTTTTCTTACCAAATATTTAATCGAAATAGACTCTTCGACTAAACCTAACTAGTTGACAACCGAGAATGAGTTCTCTAGATTTAATTCACTAGTAGCATTAATTCCTAGGAAAATAGATTAGTCTAAGCACGGACGCGAAAGCTCAGACCATTTAACTTATGTTCACGATGTCCTTTAGATGCACGATCTCTAGTTTACTACTAACGAAACAAGAACAATAACAATTACGAATTGAAGTCTCGAATCTAGCATTTAAACTATGAATATTCAACCTAGCTGGCCAAACTAAATCAAACATCGTAATTCATAAACATTATACACATATAACATGAAATCAACTCATCAACAAAATAAATATGACGTCTTAATTAATCAACAGTAAATAAAGATCCTTAAATTCATAGACAAATCAAAGTTAGAGTTGAAACATCCTCTAAAACTTGAAAAAAAAAAATCTAGTCTAACATAATAATAGGAAATAAACAAGAGATAATAGAATTATCCTCTCGTGTATGGGTGCGGCCCTGTGCGTATGTAGCTTTATCTCCTTCTTCCGTGTGTTTTCTTCCTGAGGGATTTTTTTTTTTCTCGATGCTACTTGCGGCTTTTTTTTTTTCCTCCATTAAATCCCCTAAAGACTCATCTTGCAAATAAATTTCCAGCCAATATGTTGTTATGTGTTTGTTTTCCCCAAATAATTCCCAGTGACACCCACTAATCAAAACTCCTCTCCACCAAAATATGTTTGAGCCCCTCTTCTTAAAAGAGAAATTACCCCCTACACCATACATTTCAGTTTTTATTACACAATTAAACATCTATTTTAATTATTAACAATCCTACCTAAAATCATATTTTTATTTGTAGATATATCATAATTCCCCTTTTACAGCCCTAGTCCACTCCCTAGCGCATTCAAGAACTCGCCCGCGAACTCGAACGACGTCCTCTCGACCCCATGCGCCTTCTAAAGCGCCCTTGCCTGCCACCATCGCTGGCAAAGCACATAAGTTCCTTGCTCGCGAGGCGAGATGGCCCAATCAGGCCCAACAATGAACAATAGTCGCAGAAGAAACGACCACAGCAGAATAAATAGTCTCACACTTTTGCAAAGGCAAACCCCGAACAAGATCCTGATTTCGCAGAAGATGAAAAGATCGACATGGGACGAGATGTTGATCGACGATGAGTTTGTTGATGTGATGAACAAACTGAAAGTCTTCCGTATATAGTCTATATATCTCCCCTATATAGTCTGTATTGAGAGACTATTGTATTGCGAGAATATGTACACGGAATATATATAAAAAAACATACAATACTTATATATACATAAAATATATACACAAAATATATACACGTTAAAAACATAGACATCGGCAGCTAATCTTGGACAAAATCTCAGATCTGATTGTTCATCGTCTTCCTGGCGCATATCCCGTGTCTTTTCACGTTCAGCCCCTCACCCCAGCCTGAGTTTTATCAAGAGGCTTGCGAGCAGCACGCAGCCACCCTCGCACCTTCAAACAAGTATGACGATGTCGCACAATCTCAGCCTTTTCGTTCTTCTTCCGTGCAGCGCGCGGTCGACGAGATGCAATTCGACGTCATCCGACCCTTTCAGACCAGTCGCCCGCATCCCCCCCATCAGGCGACAACCAGAAGCTTTCGTGGAACCGTCACACTCGACCGTGGAACCCCTTTGCGTGCAGCCATGGACCGTCTCGCGTGGCCTGGAGCTTCTCGATTGAGGGCGGCGGTGATGTTTTTAGACTTTACGATGTCAAGAGATTAGGGTTTTGGTAATGTGCAGGATTAAGAATTAAGGATTAGGTAGATGTGC